GGGGGGGCGCTCTACTATCCCAAGGGGGAGGGATGCGGAATTGCCGTTCTCCCCTTTCCATAGCACACGAGCGAGGGGTCACCTGCTGCAATTCTAACAGGCCGCCCATGTCAATCACACGAACCCAAGGATTTCTTCTCAGCCCGCCAGCGGGTTCCTTGCCGGGGGCGCTGGCGAAGGGCAAAACTCTCCCCGTCTTTTCCAGCCCGAACTAGCTATGGCCAAGGGCAGGCCCGCCGATGGCCATTAGCCAGGTGGGCAGGGACCCGACACCATGTTGCCAGAAGCTGGGGATGGGCTTGATTCCCTGGGGCACAGGGCATTGGCCACCGCCGGCTGCCAGGACTCTGGGCTGGGTGGAGCTGGGGTCTGACCCAGTCTGGCCGCTCTTACACAGAACCCAGAGGTACCTGCCCCCTCCCGCTGTAACCCCCCAGGCCCCTCGCCGGGCTCAGGCAGGGCCCAGGAGCCCGGCAGTCTCTCTGCGGAGACACTCACGAAGGCAGAATACACGCTGCCGCCGGCAACTGGGTGGGGGAGACCCCCCCCTCCCGCTGGCAGGCGAGAGCTCCCGTTCAGGCAAAAGTCCTTTTTCCGGAAAACTGTTCCGGAAAAGGGCCAGTGTAGACAGCACAGTAGTGTTTGCCGCAAAAAAGCCCCAATTGCGAAAATGGCGATCGGGGCTTTTTTTGCGCAAAAGCGCGTCTAGATCGGCACGGGCGCTTTTCCGCAGAAAGTGCTTTGGCACAAAAGCGTCCTGCCAATCTAGATGCGCTTTTCCGCAAATGCTTTTAACGGAAAACTTTTCCGTTCAAAGCATTTCCGGAAAATCATGCCAGTCTAGACGCAGCCCTCATGTTTAACCCTAACCAGGCTCTAGCTGGCAGAACAGGCGGCTAGGAGAGCCGAGTGGCTCTAATGCTCCACTCCTCCCCTGCGGGTTGGAGTCAGACACGGCGCCCTGCCAGCTGATCCCTGCCTTACCTGCTAAGAGCCCCTCAGTCCTCAGGTAGCTCCTGCAACCACGGTTACAGATGCCCCCCCTGGGAACAGAACCCCCGGCCAGGGCCCAGGCAGGGGGGGTTCCCTGTGCAGACCCAGGGTACGTCCGGGAGCCAGGCCCAGGGCTGCTGCCTACCTGCTTGACTGTGACGTGGGGATCGGCCAGGCTGAGGTTATAGAGGCCCAGGCAGGGGGGGTTCCCTGTGCAGACCCAGGGTACGTCCGGGAGCCAGGCCCAGGGCTGCTGCCTACCTGCTTGACTGTGACGTGGGGATCGGCCAGGCTGAGGTTATAGATGCTGGGCAGGGGGAATCCTTCCCGCAGCTTCTCTGGGGAGACAACAGGAGCCCGGGTGAGGCTGGCGGGCCCAGCTGGGAGGGGGATGCCTCCCCGAGGGCAGGGGCAAGAGGCGGGGAACGCGGCAGGACTCACTGTTGGCCATCGGCAGCACAACCAGCCGCAGCGC